ATGTCCTTATTAGTCATTTAATGTTAAACAACAACAGTTAATTATTGTATAACCAAACAGTTATATTTATCGAATCCGCTATTTACCATCCGCCATCCGCTATTTGTTAACCGCCACCTATTATCCACTTTTCGCTATTCGCCATCCGCTATCCGTTAATCACCATCCGCTATCCATTGAATTTTAACCGCTGTGCCAAACATGCCTTTAATCTACTTTTAATATATTTATATTATTCTTTCCTTTTCCACATTTATATCTTTGTTAAGAAAAAAGAGTACTGATCTTTGATCTGACAGAAAGATTTGATAGCCAAAGTTTTGACATTAATCTGTGAGAAAACTGTCCACCGCCACTACCCTTTTTTTTCTTTTATCGGATGAATCATCGGTTGCCCCAAATCAGTACAATGAATGAGAAATTGACTGCCTAGGGCAAAAGACTAAACAAGGCCAGTGTTTTTTTTTTTTTTTAAACCGTTATAGGGTAGGAGAAAAGAATATTAGTACAATATTATCGAAATTTAAAATTTAATATTAAATAAAAGGTTGAATGTACGAATTAATTGAGTTATAAAAATGAGACAAAAATTTACTTTTATCTTTTTATTTTATTTGATTAAATTTATAAATTTTATTCATTCACTTTATACAATAATATTTTTAATTTTTAATTTATTAAAAATTAAAATTTAGGGATAATTTTGGTAGTTTACGAAGTTAAGGGACAATTTTGATACAAATCTGAAAGTTGAAGGATCAAATTGATATTTTAACCTATCAAAAAAATCCCGAGTTAATGGGCCGTAGATGTATGGGCTACGGGTTATCCGAGCCCATGGACCGCTTAAGTTTTCCCCGACTTGTTGGTCTTCGTCGTATGGACTTCTCCTCCTCGTCTGCACCCAATCGGAAGAACCGAAGATCAACGAATTTCCCAAATTCATCTCTGTATCATCCAACAGTGAGGAATTGTTGAAGATCAGCGATGCAACAAGGTGATTACAGCTCCTACTATCAATTTCCTCACCTTCCAAATCCTAAGCCTAAGCCTAACCCCAATCCCAATCCCGTTTCCAACCCCACTGATTTGCATCAGCCGCCGTACGCATCGGCACCGCCTTTCACCTCTGGGTACGTCTCCTCTGATTACCCCGTCCATCCACCGAATTACCCCCCGTATCCCCACAGTTCCGATCCTGTCCCTCCCACCGCTCCCTCATACACCCCACCGTCATCGACGACACCACCGGCCGCAAATTTTAGTCCACAGACCTCTTTCAATCAACCGCCGCCACCACCGCCGCCGCCACAGACGTCAGCCCCTTCGTTTCCGCCATATGATTCTCATGGCGCATACCAGCCTCCTACATCTCAGCCACCGTATTTCCCACCTTACGATCAGCATCAGACTGCTTCCAATTACACCCCTCCGCCGCCAAATCCTGAGCCTAATCTCCATCTATCGTACTATTCAGCTTCGTATTCCCCTGTAGGATCATCGATGTTATCAGTTCCCCCTACTTACAACAACCAGTATGAGAATTCGATGAAATTTGATCATGGAAGTGGCTATTTTGATGATAAATATGGGGGTTATAGTAGAAGCAGATCCGATTTGGGTCCAGATCTTTACGGGAAGCGATCAGAGAGCCATTCAGGATATAGCGATGACGGATATGGGGACGGTGTGTTTGCTTATCAAGGTGGCAAGGTGGAGCCGCATGGGGCACGTGGTACGGCCCCAAAGTCGTCCTCTTCTGCCATTTTCGATGATTATGGCCGGCCCATTGGTTTTTCTTCTGGGAAGGATTCGTCCCTTGGATCAGCTTTGGGTTCAGCTAAGATCGTGCGAGCTGTGCCGAAGGCAGACACTCAGCAGGATGTCAAGAGTGGGGTGCTGAAGTTTCGGGTGAAGTTATTGCCTGAAAGTGGTGGACAGAGCACCATGGATGTGCTCTGCCAGGTATCGTCTTCTCATCATTACTAATTTGGTTTTGCTTGGTGAAATAAATTTTCTAGAATTTTAGTTCAATGATGTTGGTTAGATGAGCGAAGTGGTGTGGGCTAAATTTATTTGGCATTGTTAAAGATTATTGTAGTTTTGCCTTTAGACTTTACGTGATCTGGTTTAATGGCAAAAGTAGAAAAAAGAGTGATGTTTTAACAGTGAGGAAACTGTTTCGCCATAGAATAAGGACCTCAAGAACAGTCCTGACTTTTGAGCTTCTGCATTTATGTATCTATTTTATCTTTTGATTGCATTTCATATCCAAACTAGGCACGCGTTTCTTTTCTTAAAATATTCATTATGGCATTGGATGGTTTTGGCTTAGGCACCTGGTGTTCCAAAATTGATGCATGAGACTATTTTTCTGTAGTGTAGACTGTAGATGTGTATTTGCCATTGGTAAGGAATTTATGTACTTCTGCCTGGGGTTCTGAAGACTAAGGTAACTTTTGGCATTACTTCCAAAAACTAAAAACTAAACTAGATATTTATGTAATAATGTTTTGGAGAAAGCCATGATTCCTCATGATTATCTCAAAATTCCATTAACGTCACTTGTAAATTGATATGCTGATTATATGGTTTGTTTTTGCTTTGTCAGATTGGTTTGGATGGTATTCGAATGCTTGATCTGAGTACCAGTCGTACACTGAGGATCTATCCTCTTGAGACCATCACAAGATGTGATGTGAGTTGGTTGTTATCTTTCTGTTGTTGTTTAGAGAGTTCATTTCTGAATTATTTGTTATAATATTTGGCCATGATATTTACATATACGATTTCACATTAGGTGACCGATTCATCTACCTTGGCATTTTGGTCCAAAAGCTCGGTTGATATTGAACCAAGGCGAATCAGGTTGCAATCAAATAGTTACACTACAAACACCCTTCTTGATACAATAACAGCTGCAACTGTACAGGTTGGTTTCCTACTTTGGCTACCAGCCTACCACTATTCTCTTCTCTTGTTTCATTTCTCTTGAATAAATTAATTGTGTACCTATAATGCCTTCATTGATTGCCAATTATTTTCTCATTGACAAGTCCATCTC